TAAAAAAAAAAAAAAAAAAAAAAAAAGGGCCGGGGATTTAGCTCAGTGGTTCTGCTGCCTGCCTCACAAGCAATCCCTGGTATCAAAAAATAAAATAAAAATTAAAAAAAGACAGGGAACCAAGTAATAGAAGTAGTTGTCAGACTCTAAAAGGTAACTTACCTGAGGTTATTCCAAGGCACACCAGGGCCTAAGTCCAAGTCAGTGTTTTGTGGCTCTTTGTGAAACCATTCCGTTCTTCCTTCAAAACCCAGCTGCAAAAAGAACACACTCATTCTGCAGCTCTGTTCTCACATCTCTTCCACACAAATTACTTGATCTAATCCATTGTCAATTTAGATTTCAGCACAAAGTTTATTTGAAGAAATGAAGTAACTATCAAATCTCCTACTCCCACTCCAGCATCTACCCCTTCACCTTCCGCAGAGGGGCCAAAGCTAGCCAAGCGTGGGATGGTAAAGGAGGCATCATGGTCCCACTGCGCAGTTACTTGCTAGCCTTCAGCACATGCAGCCCCAACCCTGAGTCCCTCTGACCATAGCAACCTGTTTTAGAGAGCATTCATGCTACCCTGAGTGCATTTTAGTCAGTTGCCATCTCCTGAGTTCACTGGTCACGTTCATCACTGTGATCAACATACAAGTTATCAGTGGTGGTGAAAAGGCAGACAAGAGGATTTAAGAACCCTATTTAAAAAGAGTCTGTGAATGACCTATGGAATGCTCAATTTGTTAAAGTGCTCAACTACATTTTAAAAAGGTGTTGGGAAAACGTCTACTGGTGAGAAAGCAAAGTTCAATCTGAAGGGCTTTTGGACAGCTACAACAAAAAGAAGTATATAAAAAGAATTCTGTTCACACGATGTCATAAATAACAAGGGAGAGCAAAGCCTAATCTGAATGATTTGAGCTCCAAATCAAGTATCTCCAGTTGAAGACCAGCTCCTTTAACTCTTCATGGATACTAAGTAAAACATTTATTATGTTGTTCTGCTCTAGTTCTTCTCTTACTAAATAACTTTCTAATCTGAGCTCTGGTTTCCTCCATGGATATCAACTCTATAAAAAGGTCCATTCTGGGCAAGTGACTGACTTAAGGATGTCCTATAAACTACTTTTTATAGGGTGGTTTAACAGAAAATTGGATGAATGAGAAATCTTGAGGCTCTAAAACTACCAAGTAGAAGTTCACACTCAGGGCCAGGGATTTAGCTCAGTGGTTCCAGCGCCTGCCTCGCAAGCACAAGGACCTGAGTTCGATCCCCGGTATCAAAAACAAAAAGAAGCTCACACTCAACAAGAAGTCCAAAATACATCTCTTGGCATGATTACAGGACACAGGACCAAGGGAGGGATGGGATAAGTATCCACCAGCAGCAGTGGCTGTCTTCTCATAGGAGTTAGTGTACAACCTTACTAGTCACTTGTAAGTCCAATGGGCAGTAGCCCAACCCCGGTCCTTGCATAGGTCCCGGTGGCGAAGGAAACAGGCATGGACTCGGAACCGTCGGCCACAGTGGGGACAAGCATGCAAGGCTCCAGCATGGGTCTTCATGTGTTCAGTAAGATGATGTTTCAGCTTGAAGCGCTTGTTGCAGATGCCACAGCCAAAAGGCCGGAGACTGAAGGTCAGCATGATGTGCCGGTCCCGTTTTGGCTTTACTGCAAACCGCTTCCCACACAAGCAGCCAAACCGTTTTCCATCGGCAGGGGGTGTTCCCCCTAGTTTCACAGGCCCATGTACAGCCTGCCCTGCTCCCCCAGGTCCTCCACCCGCTGACAGGATTTCATTCCCATGAAGATCCACTGGTTTCCAGGATGGACCCCCACTTCCAGATGTTGCCCCTGCTCCTGAGGGTAACAAAAACCTTAGCTCCCCATTCCCTTCAGAGTCCCCTCCAGGGAACACTTTGGGCTCCTCCTTTGTGCCTCCAGACTGAGTTCCACCTCCTGCTATTTCCTCCTTGGGCTCATAAGGTTCCTGTTTAATGTAGAAGATTGTGGGGGGCCGTGCAGGAGAGGCAGGAGGTTCAAGCGGTACACTCTCGCCATCTGGAAGCCTTCGGGGAGTAGCAGATATGGGCAGTGCGTGGGAGCCGCGAGAACAGGGAAAACTCCCTGACACTCTCTGAGGTTGAGGAGTCTGAGAGCTCCTCAGAAGTGTAGCTGCTGACTCCTGATCCTCTTTTTCTTCTTCCTCCTCCTCTTCCTCCTCTTCTATCTGAATTTGTAATACTTCTCCCAGTTCACTTCCCTCCCCTCCAATGGGGCTCTCAGTGGGAGCAGGACTCTCAGTGGCAGTGGAGGGCTGCACTGAGGTCTGGAAAGGGGAAGAGCGAATGCACCAGCCTCCCGGAGAGGACGTGGCAGCAAGAAGTGTGCGGCAAGAGGCTCCTCCACGGGCTGAAATTCCACCACCGGAAGTTTCTAGTTTCCTAAGAATCTCTGAGCACTGATCTACTACTTGCCACATCTGAAGGCCACTAGCTACAAGGAGATGGGCCGGAAGAGCATCCAAAGGCAGGCGGAGATGCCCCGAATAAATGAGCTGAAGCAGCCCCTCGAACGCATCGGCTTCAATGACACTGGGAAGGGTGAGTCGCGGCGCATCTCCCAGAAGCAGCTTGTCATGAAAGTAAGGAGAGGCAGCAGCCAGCACTGCTTTGTGAGCCCTAAGTTCCCGGCCCTGCACCAGGAGGGACACATCACAGAACTTTCCCTCCAGCCTGTGGCGGTTCAGGGATTCCAGCAACAACGAGCTATGACGAGGAAATGCGATATGAATTGTCCGGGGGGCTGGGTTGCAGATTGGAGAGGGGGTTTCAGGAGGCAAAGGCGTCGAAGGATCCATGATCTCGGGGAGATCCTAGAGGATCGTGAAGAGATGGGAGTTTGGGGGTAAACTTTACGCAGGACAAAAGCTGTGAAGGAAAGAGATGGGGGGGGTCACAGAAGCCCTGGTCAGGGAGACCCCGTTCTCCTCAAACTACCCCTCCCCCACAACCTGGAACTTTTCAGTCAGCGGCAGTTCCGGCAGATGAGTCCCGCCCACCGAGAACAAAAACAACAACACACCAACCGGGGTTTTAACTCCCAGGCTCTGTGGAAGATGAGGAGGTGCTTCAGCCACGAGCCCGACCTCGCCGGCGGCGGACGGCTCCTTGCCCCACCCCTCCGTGCCGCCTCACACGCGCCCAGAGGCTGGCTCCGGGAGAACCTTGGCCACCCAGACACCACGAGGCCGGGGCGGCTGCCTTCCCCGCCGACACGCCCCTCCCTTACACACGCCACAAGGGGCTCGCAGCACCTCAGCCGCTACCACGCCGTCCAGGGCCGGAAGCCTCCGCCTCCTTGCCGGACGCCGTAGCCGGGAGCACAGGGCGGGACTGAGGCTGCAGCCAATCGCAGGGCGGAGGCCTACAAGCCTCATGCTGGTTGGCTGCACGGGCCAGGGGCCGGGGCCGGTAAGAGGCGGCGGTCCCAGAGCTGGAGGTTGGGGCGTCGGGGGAGCTGGCCGCGGAGGACGTGGACCTGGGTTCCGAGAGAGCAGCGTTTCCTGGCGATTGAACGTAGCGCCTGCCCTAACCCCGGTGGGGTTATTGGTCACCTGTGTAGGCCGGGCACTCGCGTCCCCCGGCAGCCTGGCGAGGTAGGTGTGGCCGCCCTCCCTGTGCATCGGGGAGACCGAGCTGGGAGACCCGCTCGGCGGGCACTAGTGGGTCGGTAACCCAGACATCTTGAGGAACCAGGTGCCTTCTTCCGTTTCGCACCGCAGCATTTTAACAATTAAAGTCTTACTTCCCGGCGATCGCTCGGAGAAGGATGTGTACTTGGACTCTGCTCCTTCAAACTAAGGGGAACCGCGGGCGAGGAGAGCTGGGCTGGGCGGGTGTGGCGCTGGGAGGGACTGAGGCCTCCAAGCCGGCGGCTTCCTCTCGAGGAGGAGATCCTGTCACCCTCACCCTGCTGTCACCCTCACCCTGCTGTTGGGCCCGGAGAACCAAGCTAAGAAAGGCAGCGCAGCGATAAAAGAACAATCTCCGTTTATTAAACATGATTTTTCTGTTTCACCACACACTCCAGAAAAAAAGGAAATGGGGCTGGGAGAAAGGGGGCAGTGGTTGGGGATAGAGAAGGCTGGTAGTGGGGCGGGGAGGGAGAAGGAGAAAACAAAATAAAACTGGTAGGAAGTGCATCTCCCTACCCTGCGGGTGGGATGGGAGCGGAGGGCGGGGGAGGGGCCAGGAAGCTCTGTACAGAGGGGTCGCCCCCAGCCCACACACACACACACACACACACACCCCGGATATGTACAGTACAAACCCCAGATAATTACAACAGCCAAAGAAGAGAGGAGGAAGGGGCTCCTGGGCCAGGGCCTGAGGTGGGTAAAGCAGAGGAGAGGGCACAGGAATAAAATTTCACATATGTACAACTTTTATATAAGTATAAATTTGGCCCCGGCTGGATGTGTATGTGTGTAGGGGGATGGGACCGAAGGGGAACTGTCCATACAAAAGAAAGAAGGAAGTCTCAATACCAAACGCAAGAAGGGATGAAGGGTCAAGGCTGGGTAGGGAACAGCAGTCAGGGAAGAGGGGGCCCAAGGAGGGGCTTCTTCCTTCCCATGGCCGACCCACCCCAAGCCCCATCCATCCTACCTCCCCTGTTCCGCCAGAGAGCTATGTACAGAGAAACACCGAAAAATTGTGGACTGGCGGGAGGGAAGGACGGAGGTGGAGGGAGATTGGGGCAGGGGGAGGATGAGAGGGAAGCCCAGCCCTGTCCTGCCTCCCCAGGGGGACAGAGTCACGGGAGGGGGACCCCAACACCCCTCCTCCAACACAGGTCCCCCCCACCCTGGGGGAGAGAGACATGGCTTTTCCTGGAGTAATTTCCCCCTCCCCTGGGAGTGGAGACCGAGGGAGGAGGAGCAGGGGAGACTGCTGGGGTAGGGCAGGTGACTGGTCTGTCCCCACGACGTACACACCCTCCTCAACCCTGACGCCTCACCCTAACCTCAATTCCCCCCCACCCAACACACTGGGGGAGGGGGGGGCATAAGCCCCCTCACCCCGCTCTGGGACCAGCCGAGAGCAGATCAGGTGTGGGAAGAAAGGGAGAGAACTCCCATTCCCCCCTTGCCGCCCCCTCCCTGCCCCGGTGGCCCCCTCCACCCCATCTGGGTTCTGGGTGGGGAGGGAGTAAATTTAAGAGTGGAAGGAGGAGGAGTTTGTGCGTGCTGAGCCCCCCCCAGACGCTCCTGAGAAATCAAGGGGTAACAGGGCCCCCTCACCCGGGGTCCCCTCCCCATAACAAGGGGGGCAGGGGAGGCCAAAATGGGGCGATAGAGGGGAGTTAAGATTGTCAGCTCTGGTTACTGCTAAAAAATCACCCTGAAGTTGAAAGTTTGGAGGTGCCACACCCCCAGGGTGGGGGGGAGGGTCTGTCCCCCAGTTCTCAGGGGAACGATGAGGCAGAGGGTGGGGATAGCACCCCGAAGTGGAGGGGTCTGGGTAGGGTAGGCGGTGTCCTGGAGCAAGGGTCCCTGGGGATCAGAGGGGGCAGCACCCCAACAGGAAGGAAAAGGGGGCGGCTGAGGGGCCCCCCTTCCCTCCTGGAAATGGTGCGATGGGGGAGGGGTCCGGTGCCCCCAGGAGGCGGTCAAGGAGGCCATCCCGCTGTCCCTCGGTGACGTCCAGTCCTGGTGGTAGGTGCTGCTCCGGGGCGGGGCGGGGCGGGCTGTGATGCGGGCTAGTGGTCTGC